TAAACTTTATTATCAGACAATAACAATATTCAGTTCATGCTTTTCAAACATTTCATGAAACTGTTTATATTGACTGAACCTTTTAATTCTAAACATCTTTTATTTTTTATTCAGATTGAGTGACTGCAGTTTGTCAGAGATCAGCTGTTCTTCTCTGGTCTCAGCTCTGAAGTCCAACCCCTCCCATCTGAGAGAGCTGGACCTGAGTGACAACTACAACCTGAAGGGTTCAGATGTGAAGCTGCTGTCTGATCTTGTGGAGAGTCCACACTGTAGACTGCAGACTCTGAGGTCAGTAGAGGGTCTGAGTCAGTCCATGCTGGTTCCAGCAGTCTTGGACTAAACACAGATCCAGTATTTGCTGCTTTCCTCAGTGAAGCTGTGAGAGGAGAATGGGGACAGGCTTCAGGATTGGACAGACAGACAGACAGAGAGAGAACAGTCAGCCAATCAGAGAGCCAGAAGCTTGTTGTGATCATGTGTTTGAGTTGATGTGAAGACGACTGTTGTTGTTGTGTTCATGTGTTCAGGAAATAAAGCTGGATTCCAGCTGACAGCATTACAAGATGTATAGAGACAGTGGTCCTCATTCATCCAGTCTGATCTCACACTGTTTGTTCTCTCATTTCTACACTAAACAACTGATCAGTTGGTCTTTGTCACAGCTCTGAGATCAGTCTGACTGAAGCCTGTGTTACCGGCACCAGACCTAGGGGAAATCTGGACCAGCAGCAAGGGTTACACAGGCTAGGGAGCACTGTGTAGCCCATACATAAACTGTGGATTGACAGAGAGATGACGAAAGTTAGTGTCTTGCTCATGCCAGAGCTTGTTTATTTCTGAGCTGCGCATGTGCAGAGCTTGTAGCTACAGTCTCCCTAATGGATCCACAGCAGCACTAGAGCACCACCTGCTGGCGTAATACTGTACTACCTTCAGTGTTAGAATGACTCAATTATTACAAAAATAGAGGGGGTGTCTGCTAAACACAAACTTAACATATGGTGTTTTCCAACCCATTACACCTGCAAACAAGCATCATTACATTTAGTGACCATGTGGTCTTTGTACAGACCAGGACCTCTGCTGGAGTCCAGTACCCACAGCTGATGTGTTGCTGTTCAGTCTTTGTATGAACATGTAGGACCTTTAACATCAGATATATATCTGTCCATTTGTCTCTTGTTTGTCCAAATAGTTTGAATATTTACACATTTGTCCTGTAAGAGTTCAGATGAAACATTCAAATGTGACTGAGACTGTGGTTTTTATCAGCTTTGAACCCTAACAGCAGTAAATGCATCATTCCAGTGGGCAGTGAATGTCTCTCTGTTTCTGCAGTAATGATGCGTTCAGGGACTCTCAGCACTTTATTTCCACTGTGTACTTCAGTGAAATCTGCAGAGTCAGCAGACTTGATGTCCAAAGTGTGTGCAGGTCTGTGATCTTCAGCTCAGTGTGTTCACTCCAATACGTTAACATGAGAGCTGAAAGGAAGCAGGCTACACTACACAGCCGCTCCACTGCTGGTCTGAACTGGACTGAAGTCCCTGCTGCTCTTTATACTGGATGTGCTGATGGAGGGAGTCTCTGCAAACACTGATTTATCTCTGCTGTCTGTCTCCTTCTCGCCTCAGCTGGAACTGGTGATCTCAGTCAGAGTGTGAGTGGTGAGGAAGGAGGTTGTGTTGGAGGATCCGCTGTGTCCTGATGATCCAGAGAGGTTGAAGCAGCAGCATCAGCTCTGACTGGGCCATGTTACTGGGAGGTAGAGTGGAGAGGAGAGCTTCATCCAGCAGTGACTGACAGAGGAATCACAACCAGTGGAGACGACTCTCAGTGCTGCAGTCTGAACTGCTCTGAGATCAGCTCCCTGTGTGTTCCTCTGGATCATGTGACAGAGTATCATCAGTGTACAAACACACAACTGTATTATCACTGTATATGGCTGAGGACAGTTTGGTGACAGCGTTATCGAGTTGATTATTGATTTTCAAGATGGACTACTAAAAGAATCCAACGGTCGCTAACAATAATGTTAGATGTTGTTAGCTCGTGCAGCTAAACTGCCTGTATTCACACAAATTCCTCATTATGGATTCTTTCTTTGTTTCATTGTCTGATTTGTTAATTGGTATTGATTTGTTTGATAAGTGTCCACATGTAAGAATCATTTTCAAGATTGTCTTTTTTCATGATGAAGAACGTGTGTAAAGATTTACAATAAACTGAAGTCTTGAATTGTTCAGAGAGTAGAATCAGTGCTTGAACCTCCTCAGATAACGTTACTGTACTTCAGTATTTCTTTATTTTGTCCTTTTTACAGTTTTACACAAATGTCTGTTTCTGTTTCTTACATTTTAAAAACAGGATCGTTACTTGAGTGCTTCAGAGGGGAATTATCTTTTCCTTAAACTTATTTTCAGTAAAAAAAATCACATCTCCACACACCACCCTGCGCTAATCGCCACCAGCAGCGACTCCACACAACACGCAGACACAAAGACGAAAATAAGATCACACAAAGACACAAAAGGATTTAAAATGAAATCAGATCAAAATGGCCACACAAGGGTTACTTCCTGTTTCCAGTAGGTGGCGCTATCAGTATGATTGAATATTAGTACGGAGATGTGTTCAGGTTGGAGATTTGTGGAGATTTGAGAAAGTAAACTAAAGCTATGACAACTTTCTGTTTAATGGACACGCCTGTCGATGAACAGTCACAAAAACAACAACATTTTAATCGTGATGGTCTTCAGATTGCACTTCAATTTAAGTTCACACGATCAATTCCCTCGGAGGAAGGTTAGGCTCATCGCCAGGGTGGTGGGGGCTGATTTAAAATGAGAATTGTTTTTGGAGAAGACGGTGTTTCCTTAATGATGAGACATCGTAGTGATTCTGTGACTGAATACAGTAAATACACTCCTGAACAAAATCTTTAAAAAAACTACAAGTATTCACATTTCGCGTTGGTGGAACATAAAAATATCGTAAGTAGCTTCAAAATGCCAAAAGAAGAAACAGGAGCAAGAGACAAAACAATAGAGTAGACAATTTATTGAAAATTGTATTTAAACTAAAATAGGCTCAAAAAGTTTAAGACCAGTTCCTTGTTGGACCCGGATCACATGAACCCTCAGAACAACAGAGACGGATTATTATAATCAACCAACTTTAGAGCAAACGTTTCTCAATTCTTGTCACACTCTGTTTCCCAACAGCAGCTCAGCAGAAACACACACACACACACACACACACACACACACACACACACACACACACACACACACACCTGCAGGATTTATGACATCACAGCTGGTCTTGAGCCAATCACAGTGCAGAATGAAACTGACGATGAGGGAGGAGGAGGCGTCGTTTTAATAAGATTTATTATTATTTTTATTCAGTTTATTGATTTTTGTTTGTTGAAAAAAAACAAAATAAATCAATCAAATTATTATTTTTTTATGTCTTCAAACTGAACCTTTGACCTTTGACCTTTAAGGATTATATAGTTTAATTTTTACTGTGGATATAATGTGTGTTTATTACTGTTCAGGTTGTAGTTCCTGCAGTCGGCCACTAGAGGGAGATAAAGCTCACTGATTACTGGAGACTGAAGATTTAAAGACTCTTTAAAATGACCTGAAACATCTGGAACGATTTACATCTGAGGAAATAATATTTACAGTTTATTTAACTTTAATTTTATAACTTTATTTTATTATTGTATTGTATTTCTTTATTGGTGTATTTAAATTCTGTCTGTATTATATTTTTGTGTGTAACATGAAACAATTGCAAATCCCTTATTTTGTGATAAAACCTTTTATAATGATAAATACATTTCTTTGATTTAATGACACTATATTATTAAAATAAATCTTATTGTATGGTTGATATATTTTAAACAGAAAAAGATAAAGAAAACACAATAAATTGAATAATAAATCAAATAAAACATACTTTTTAATTAACTTTTTGGCTTCATTATTAAAAATATATATATTTTGTAATTAAATGTAAATGTGATTTATTGTTGTTTATTTTATTTTCAGACATTATTGGTCAGATTTTCTCAGTATTTTGCTGTTTTTAAATCTGATTTGTTGCATTAGATTCAAACTAGATTTTCACTTTTCAATACAAACAAGTTTGTAGTTTTATCAACATAAAGCTGAAGTTTAACTGAATTAATAGTTTAGTTTTGACCCCAAAATCAGCAGAAAATCACAGAATTCAACATCTCTAATTCCACTTTCTTTATTTACATACAAAACACAGTATAAAGTGTTACAGCGTCATAAAAAATAAATTCTGTACAAACGTTTGTGACTGTTAGAGAACAATCAGGTCGTGAAGGATATCTACAGATATTTACAGAAGAGCTTCACCGGGACGCGGCGGCTCGTGTGCTTCAGTACGGTCAAGATGGAGTTAAAAACTGACAACAAAAACAAAAACACTGCTGTGTGCTGCAAACATAATATGAACAAAAAAAACACCAAATTATGAGCTTTTTCCAGGACGTTGTTGGTTTGATAATAAAAAAAGCCAATGAGGAAAACAACAAATACAAAGACATCATTTTATTTCCTCCAAACAAAACCTGCAGCTTCAGTAAAACGCAGTAATTATTCAACAATCTTTGGTTTCTTTAATTAAAAGGAGAAAAAAAAACAGAAGTCTTAAACTGTTAAGTTGTCTTTGTTGCTAAGCGCTCTTCGACTCAAAAACGTCACCTGTCAATCAAACAATGTGGGCGGTACTAGTTGATGATCATGGCTGCTAATGCTAACGCTAACTACCACTAACTCTAACCAAACAGACAATGCAGCAGTTAAGAGCTACTCAACTGTTATTGACCCTTCCTAAACCCCGCCTAGCACGAACCCCCCCCCTTGTTGGTACCAAAAAAGGGGGGGCTTAGGGGCAGCGTAAGCAGGCATCAAACACAAATGAACGTCCTGTCCCCAACGCACAAAACACCCAAGCTTCTAGCTGGCCATCCACAGGGTGAAGGGGATGAGGAGGGTGGGCAGGGCGGTGCTGGGGGATATTCCCAAACACGCCATGGACAGCAGACCCAGCAGCGCCGTCAGCAGGACGTTACGCTGGTCCCGAATCAGCGACTTCAGCCACTCACAGAACTGGAAGACGGGAAATAATATTAATCAATATTTAATGTTTCAATAAGAGGAAACTTTATTAGAAACAGCAAAACATTCAAGTTTCCTTCAAAATCCTTTAAAAAACAAGTTTGTTTGTTGTTGTTAAAAGGAATCGACCGATGTATCGTTATCAGATTAACTAGCATCATTCAGGCTATAATGAGAAGTATAATGTCGTCCCTTTGAGGGAGGTTATTTTGCTAAATGGGGGGCAACAGGGGCCCACAGCTCACTTTTGCCCCGGGGCCCCCGGAGGGTTTGATCCGGCCCTGCTAGAATGTGCAAATCTCTTTTTTTAATCTTCCCAAAACATTTCAAGCTCAAGAAACTTTAAAGTGCAGAAAGATTTCTCCTGCAAATATTCCCTCAGTGAGAACTGAAGGAATCCAGCCTATAATTGATCTGTTGTTTATTTTACTGTGGGGCCCCCTGAGGCCCCTGTTAGAGCTCCTGTCGGACCCCCCCTTTAATGGACCTGGAAGGAGCCGACTCCCAGACTGCCGACAGGTCAGATGTTTAGGTTAGCAATTACAGGAAGTGAAACTCGATCGGGGGAAACTCTCTCTGCTGCAGGAGCTCAAAGACTGAATGGACAAACAGGCCGCGCCCCCTCACACCCCCTCCCCCACCTTTGACCCTCAGCTGGAACTGAAGGCTGCTGCGAAACAAGATGGAGGAAGAATCAGGGAGGTTTGTTTCAGAAAAGTAATCAATAAAGTTTAAACCCTAAAGATGTTCTTAATATAAACCCTTTTTATACTTTAATTATCTCTGTGTAACTGTTAGTGTCGGGGTCCGCCACTGGAGACTGATTACAGATCTATAATAATTTGATCTGATTGATCGATTGTCCTGGATTCATTGACTGCTAATGTCAAAATAATCGGAAAAACGACTTCCAGATGTTTGGTATGCGACTTGACGTCACATTACGTGGAAACATGGCGGATAAAAGTAAACGCTGGCTTGATGGTGAGATAGACGGATCACAGGAAGTGACAGTGAAACTATAAAAGTGCTGGACAAATGTGTGATGGCTTTTATTGTGAAAGGGTTGCAGGAAACACATCTGTCCATGAGGTTAGCAGTGACTGCGATCCTTTAGTGAAAACTCTACGAAACAAGACGAGTGTTTTTATTAAAATCCTCGAAGACTTTTCTGAACATCTGGATGAAAACATCCAAAAAATTTAAAAGATTTAAACCCATTTTCAAAATAAGAGTCCTCCAGAGCAGCTGTGTGACCCGACTGTGTGCGAGCAGACGAGAGGCACTAACTGGGGCTCTGAGAGGCTCCGCTGCCCTCCTTCATCACCATCATCATCATCGTCGTCGGTCTGGGCTGCTGCTGGTTGGTTTCTGGCTCCGGTCTGAATGCGGCTCTTGTTCTCAAGACTTTTTCCGAGGAGCGACCCAGATTTTCCTCTCGTTTAAAAGAAAAAAACAGTCTGCAGTGCTTCGCTTTGATCCGTCGTACCTGGACGGACTCGAGTGCAACAAATATGTCCGGCCGCTGGGAGGCTCAGGACTGCGTTTAAAGTGACATTTTGGTTGTTTTATAGCATTTTTACACTAAAGACATTCTCTCAGGCAGATTTGTTTTAAGTCTCTCCTACAATTATTTGTAGAAGACTGTTTCTTCACTATGAAAAGGATCCTAATGGATATAGAAACTTCAGTTACTACAGTTGTTTTTCCTCTAAAATATATCGATAATGTGATTTTATTTAAAACGTATTCATGTTAAAACAACATTATTATTATCAAATAAACTGACTTTCTTTATAAAAACAGGATTTGGTCTTATATTCGGGGCCACTCTCCTGTACCCGAGATCGACAGCAGCCTTCGAACACAACAGCGAGTGGTTTGGTTCATTCTGCGGTTTACTGGTGGAGCGCGACTCGGAGTCGGAGGCAGATGTTTTGCCTGAACATTCGGGGCTCAGTCCAAACCCTTGTGGGTGGTTTTGGAGCATTTTTCCCCCCAATTTATGGTCGATATGGTAAAAACATCACATTGTGATTAATTTGGCAGATATTGTGATATGATTTACGGCCGTTGTGGTTTTGGCATCACAAATTACATTTTCACTCAAAGTTCCTAAAAATGTGAAAATCTTTTGGGGCTCTGAACCAAACAAACATGTTTTCTTAAATGTGGAGCAACACAGAACTTTGTTAAAATGTTGTTTGTCACATTGTTGTTTTTCAGCCTTTCTGAGATAATAAAAAGCCTAAATTCTGCACATGATCTGGTAAAAACATGATAGTTGTCCAGTCATCCTGTTTGTGTTCATCATTCTGAAACCAGTCTCTTACAGATGACTCATTTTCACTTCTGAGGCCATAAAAAGGCAGAAATATTTGAGGTTTTCTCCTCATGAATAACTTTATGTCCAGAAGACAGTTAGTTTGCTCCCTGCGGTGACACGGCTGACCTGTAGGTGGCGATATTTCCCCGCTAACAGCGCTCCATTTATCTCCAGTGCCATCTGAGAGGAACTGACAAAAAGTTTGTTTTAAAAACCAAAAGTAATGTTATTGTTATGGATGTACGACAGGAACGGGTCCGTTTATCTGATTTCACAGCAGATTTCCTGAGAGGAAACAATGTCTTTAGGTGTTTTTTTGCAATAAAACTGCAGGAGAAAGTTAGATTATTCATGATTTTTTTGTATAATTGATAAAAACTTGAAGGCAACTTGTTCCAGTGAGAATAAACTCTGTAGTAGTTTGGTGACGTTTGATTAAATCTGCAGTTGCAGCAACTGGACAAAGATCCATTAACGACAGTTCGAGAGGAGGCGGAGAGTGGTTGTGAATTAAATGTTTTAATGTATAATAAAAATAATATAGTGAAATAAGGAGCCCCAGAAGCCCCCCACCCCTTCCGCTCCGCCCCTGCAGCTAGTGCGTAAAAGCGGATTCCTGCGTCTCCACCGAACCACGATAATGTGGATGTAACGACGCACAAAATGTACATCAATGTTCCACCCATACATCTGTTTATTGAGCTTTTATGGCGCTATAATCTGCGGTTAAACCCTTCAGAGGTCCGCAGCTGCTGTGATGAAAGTGGGTCAGTGTGAACATCAGAACTCAGGAAGCAGATCAATCTGATCTAAAACTACACCGCAGCATCCGGCTGCAAACCCGCGCGTAAAAGCGGTTCTCACCTGGTCGGTCTGGAGACTCTGCGCGGTGCCGTAGCGGCAGTACGTGACGAAGTGC